ATGAAAAAAATAGGCTTGCGCATAAAAGGTTGGTTCAGATTTGAATCGCGTGCTGAAAAAATAAATAAAAAAAAAGGGTAGTTCGTCCCTCGCGCGACGCAAGGTCAACGTGCACTTTGACCATAAAAATTGGGTCGCGTTCGGGCATGCGACGGGGTTGCGATGGGGGGTTTGCTACGGGTCGCGAATAGTTTTTGTGACGGGGCATGAGACAGGCACGTCCATGGTTTTAGGGCAGATAAATTGCTGACTTTTTGTAAAACCAATGGAGTTTCTTTGCTTGTTTCTGAGAGAGAGTGTGCGTGATTGTGAAGATCTCTATTTCTCTGTTCCCACTAAAATATACAAGAGGCAATAAAGGATTCCACAAGATAACCCCCCCTCACTCTGGAAGTGAATGGCTGGGTGGATGGATTTATGGTACTATTTCTCTGGTTCAACAATTTCAGTATCCAGCCACTTTGTGAGACAGCTTCCAAAAGTATCAGTGGCAGTTGAGTGGAAGCCTAGTGTGGACATCCACTGCCTCAGAGAGGTGATTGTCCAAAAATATTGGAAGAAATGCTTGTAATCTTTGGAGGAATGAGAACAGAGACTAGTATAGTATGTGTCATAGTTCTGATATTCCTGCTGTCGTGACTGGAAAAACAAGGGTTTTGAAATTTGTTGCAATCAACAAGTTAGCTAAATCTTGCCCCCACATGTTTAATATAGTAATCTATTTACACCAGGGATTCAGACACTTCTTAATATCCTCCACCATTTATTTTCTGCAAAGAAAATTGTAGAATCCAATGCTGCACTATTGCAAATCTGTAAATATTTAATCTGGAATATGTTTTCTTCACTATGACAATCTTACTGCTACCAGTACTACTAGGGAAAGTCATTGTTATCACCACACATTCTAGACCCCTTCAAAAGAAAGGTTCCAAATTTGATACTTCTCCAACTTTTCTCAAATAGAAGGACAAATGAAATCATCATCAGCCACCAGTACTACTATTAGTACTACTATTAGTACTACTATTAGTACTACTATTAGTACTACTACTACCACTAGTACTAGTAGTAGTAGTTAGTATCTGGCCACCAATTATCATATTTGTTGTTTCTTGAGCTCAACCCATCTTTTTGGACAAACAAATAGCTTCCTGGGCTCCTTTGATAAACAGGAAAAAATTGAAAATGCAAATACATCCTCACCACCAGCAAGAAGAAGAATCAAAGCACAAAACATCATAATGGAAGTATTGTTGTTGTACTACTACTACAAAATACTATTCAAACACCCCAAAATCCATTTGGTGATATATCTAAGAAAGTAATTTACTCAGAATACTCACACAAAAAATGGTCTAGGCAGGAAGCTACTACTAGTAGTAGTGGTACTAATCAAAAATTATATTATCATTATTTCTATTGATGAAGTTCTTACAATTTGAAACTAGTAAAAGATAAGTTTTACCAGTATTATGATGCAACAAAATTATGATGAGAAAACCTGGGATAATAGCTTTCTTTTTTCATCCACATATGGAATATTTTGAGTTTTCTTAGACATGGGTTCTGAAAGCTGAAAATAACCCACAAAACGCATCATCACCACAAAACCACAGATATTCCCTTTCTTGCTTTGTGGGTTAACCCAGAAATTGAAATACAAGTTTGAGGAGCACCAACAAGTATGTTAACAGGTACTACCACTCCAAGAATAAATTCAATTGTTATTTGTAGATTTTTGTGGTTAATTCATCAAAACATGTTTCATTCATTAGACCTTAGTACAACAACATGGGGTAGTTGTGACCACCTACAGAAATTTAAAAAAAAATATAAAATGAAGGTAGTGAGTCAGGTTGGGAATCCATCTTGCCATGTTATTTTCACTAACAAAATGGTAGTGCAGACAGGTACAGAACAACAACACAAAAACATAGTATAACATTGAGGTGGGTTGAGAATGTGAAACACCAGTTAATGAACAGAGTAGTAGTAGTAGTAGTATTGTACAATAATAATAACAATAGTAGTACAGAAGAATATGTATTTTTTTTGGTATTCTGGTTCAGCCAAACTACTAGCATCATCTGGGCAAAAACTGGGTGGCATCAGAATATATTTTCTTTGGAACAATACAGCAGTAGTAGTAATCCTGTGAGCAGCAGATATGTACTCTTTTGAGGTGCAAGACAAAAAATAACTACTGAGCACAGTTGTTCCTAACTGCTCTTAGCCTGAGTTATTGTAGTTTTGTCTTTCCTTCTTCTGTTATTGCTCTTGGACCAGTGCCACGGGACATTCTGGGCTTCTTGGCACTCCTGTGGTGCGGTATGCTGTTCCTCATACCTCGTCTGTGGCCTGAGGTTGTAGTAAGGATCCAAGTGGTCAACTATTCACACTTTCTGAGTGTTTACCAAAATTAGGATCTGACTAATAGTATAATGGTCTGGGGTTTACGGGTTGTCATATTGAAGCTGTTGACCAGCAAGGCAATTTGTGGTGGTGGTACTGTTTTGCGGTGGGTTTTTCTCCTGTGTTAAAGGGCAGGGAAGGGGTGAATCTTCCTCTTTCACATCATGTCTCATCCTACCATGGCAGTCCTTGAGAATGAGGCCAAGGCTTGTTGAGGTGTAAAGGCTATCGTATTTGCGGGGTATCCCAATTTGCAAGGTAGCTATTTCTCTGGTTATCGTCTTTCGTCTGTACGTCGTTCCCAATACTCAATGAGTGTTTCTTAGTGCGCGATTTCAGTATCTCGTGTGTGTGACTTCAAGCAAAAATCGAGCAACTCAACGACAACGTATGTACCTGGTACGGTATGTATTTGATTTGAAAAAAATGACATCGTACGATCGTATTTTTTGCAATTTAGAGAAACATTTATTACAACATTTATTATCTTCCAATAAATGATCGTTTGCGATTTCATTCACATCTAATCAATGCCAAAGTTATAGTTCCAAAGAATATTGCCTTCGGAATCCAATATAAATTCGTCACCAAAAAAATGCATGGATAATCACTTTTGACATTTCAAGAAATCGTATGATACTGAAACTTTGTTGATAGAATCGAAAGATCGATTAAATGTTTCAGGAAATCATGTTGAATTGCATCATGGTGGCAATTGCGAACTTGAAAATATCAACTAAATTCCGAATTGGTATTTTCAGTTCCTCTCTCATCAACGGAAAATTATCAACTGGTTTGACGAAAAACTTAGCACTCTTAAGGTCACACAGAAAAAATGGAAGAACATTTATGATGACTTTGTTTCTACCGTATCATTGAGAAATGACATTAGAATATCCGTGAAATCTAGTTGCAATGAAAATCATGAACATTTTGAAAATAATTTCTGGAAGATTAATGATTTAATTACAAACCAACGCTGTGAAACAAAAAAATTGAGCCATTATCATAATCGCATTCATATCCGTGGTCGTTTCGACGGAAACCACCTGGCTCACAATTTGAAATATCGACTTGGCTGATACAATGAATATTCTCAGTTTGTTGTTATTGATTCAATGCGGAATCGTTGTCGCGTCCACCAATCTACAAGAACCAACAAACGTATCTCAAAGACAACTTCGGGGGGGTAACATTGACATCAACAATAACGTCGAGGAATCAAGGTTAGACATATCCAAAAGCCGTAATTTACTTGATCTCGGGCCCCTCAACACTGCCCGATATTTGGGTCAAAAAGAACTGTTGGTGATCCGCATCGAAGCAAAAGACTCATCCACTACAGCGAGTGAATCGGAGGTACGATACGATGTATTTGAAAGTGAGGTCAACGTCCCAAAGCAGTTTGAGGCATGCTCCCGGGGGAAACTCAGCTTTCGACCCGCACAAGGAACGAATATCAAAGATGGAGTGGTTACTGTGAAACTGAATAAAGTAGTGGGGAAAATGGCTTTTGCAACCAATGGAGACAGTGTCGTCAAGGATATCGAATCGATGGCTCCAACAATGTTCGGAAGAGAGCTGAGGGGATTCGACCAGGTCATCATGTGCATGCCACCAGGCGTAACGGTTGTGAATCCTAGTGGTGTAACAACAGACAAATTTACTGCATTCGTCCCAGGGGATAAACCATATGCATTTTTTGTAAGCATTTATAACGATGACTGGTGCACTTCTCTTAGTGCAGGAATGCACGAGATCGGACACACATTGGGACTAAATCACGCAACTGAAGTAATAAATGGACAGCACGCAGAATACGAAGACGAAACCGGTATGATGGGATATTCTGCAAAAAGCAAAACTACTCCTCTCAAGTGCTTCAATCCTGCGAAAGCATGGCAGTTGGGATGGTATGCTGAACAGTCCAAGAGGATTAATCCACTCATCGACGCCCCCCTCAGAACCATCCTCACAGGAATCACAAGGGACATTAATGATAACGATCAATCAAAGAACATTTTGATTCAAATTCCGAACGGTGATAAAAATATTTACATCGGATACAACCATGCAATTCAATACAACTCCGAAACGGAAGCTGACAAAGCCAACAAGGTTTTGATAATGGAACAAGATTACGGTGGTTCGAAAATGTTGCTTGCAAAATCTTCGGTGCTTTCAAAACTTGGTGACAATGAGTCTCATACCATCGAAAACTTTCACGGTAGCGGGAAAAATCTAATTATTCGAGTACACAACAAAATTTCCGGCGGCAGCGAAGTTCCAGTGGACATTTATTTCGAGAATGAAATTCAGCCCTACGAAACAGCGTGCAAAGATGGTCAAGTTCGCTTCGAGGTCAATTTTGTGACAGATGCCTATTCCTCAGGAAATGTTGGATGGGACTTGATCAGCGACGAAACGAAAAATACGGTGGCTTCCCATCCTGTGAGTGACTCTCAGCTATATTCTATGTACAACAAGTTAGTCTGTATTGATCCTGAGAAAGATTACACATTCACCTTCAATGCTCGGCATGGCATAGGAATCTGTTGCAACGGAGGTTTTGGTTTTTACAGTGCCTTTCTAGAAGGCGAAGAGATCTTCCGAGGCGGAGAATTTGGTTCTTTTAAATTTGAAGGCGACACTTCACCAAAGGTCTATTCAGTCAGCCACAAATTTAGAGCTGAAAAAGGATCTTTAGAGCAGTTGAGTTCTTTATTCGTTCCATTTCAAACCCCGTCGTCGTGCATTGATAATCCAACCTATCGATGGAAGGGTAGAGCACAATGGGATTGTGCTTGGGTGGCAGAGGAAAAAGACAAGCGGTGTTCAAAGGAGATCAATGGGGAGAGAGTTAGGGATCACTGCCAAAGGACATGCGACGATTCCTGTACTGGCGTGAAGGACCCTAGACTGACTCCGGTTACTGCTCCAACCAATGCACCAGGAAACAATGTTTTTTGTTTAGACGATCCCAATTTTGCATGGAAGAACACTCCGAGTTGGAATTGCGATTGGGTTGCAGAGGAAAAGGAAAAGCGCTGTTCAAGGTCGAAAGACGGAGTGAACGTGAAAGATCTCTGTCAAAAGACATGTGGTACTTGTAGCGGTAGTACAAAGCCTTCCGCCGATGAAAGTAAGTGTATTGACGATCCGAATTTTGCATGGAAGAATACGCCGACGTGGAATTGTGATTGGGTTGCTGCAGCGAAGAACAAGCGCTGTGGAAAGTCAAAGAATGGGGTAACAGTGAATGATCACTGCCGAAAGACATGCGGTACTTGTAGTGCTGGTACAAACCCAACGCCAAGTCCTGGGGTCGATCCTCCCACAGACGAAGATAGGTGCATTGATGATCCGAATTTTACATGGAAGAATAATCCAAACTGGACTTGCAAATGGGTTGGAAAGGCAAGAAATAAGCGCTGTGGGAAGAAAAGGAATGGAGTAAAAGTTAGCGATCACTGTCGAAAGACATGCCGTTCCTGTTAGAGGTAGAGCGACACGAATCGTTCATTATCAGCGTATGAATGCAAATTCATCTGCTTCTGAAAAGGAATGGACAGTCCATTAAGAACTGGTGGTTTTGTCACGAAGAGAAGAAGGCTGTTTAAGCATGCAGGTCAGAGAATTTGTATGCAATGCCAACAATGGCATACTTGAGAGTACATAATGTACCATATTGGGGGAAACGAAAAAATTGTAACATTATAGCCAAAAAGTTACTCTGAAAAAGCTTTTCGAATCTAGTTTACAAAAGAAGCCATGCTTTCTTCTTAACAATCGCAGTACAGCATTACGCGGTGCGGCAAATCGACAACTTACACGGCACCAACTCTCTAGCTTTAGCTAGTCTCGTCGCTTCAAGCGCCGGCGTCGTGTGCGATGGCTCCTTGAAGATGGCAAGATCGATAGCGGACAGTAGGCAAGGGCTATTACCGCCACCACGAAACATAGCAGCAAAGCCAAAATGGAATAATTAACAAAGGTTGAGGAGCGGGTAGCAGTATCGATTTTTTTCCTGACATGGTGGAGGATAGGGTCAGCGACATTGCGGACTTTTTCGTGGACTATTTCGTGGAATCGCTTCTTCGCTTGTTGCGTCTTGCTCAGCAAGTACGATTCGTAGGCAATGACAGCGGACATGCTGTGCTGGACATAGTCGACACGGACTTCCGCAAGGTGGTAGTCTTCCTCTCCGTCTTCGCTGCCCTCCTCCTCATCGTCGTTGCTCTTTGAGAGAGCGGCGGGTTTCTTGCCCGAGTACATACCCGGAACGGCACCGCGCATGCTGTTTTGATCGGTCTTTTGTTGCGCCTCGAGCAAAAACCGTATCCCCATCCCGACGTCGCGTTCGATGCGATCGCGCAATAATTCCGTCGCGTCGGCGTGGTTTCCTTTCTTGTCCTCGCCTTCTTCCTCGCTGTTTCCACCGAGGAAGATTTCCGATTCTTGAACAAAGGTTAGTGCGGCCACTAGTAGTGGGAGAGCAGAGTTTGCAAAGGAAACGAAGCGGGGACGGAAGAAAAAGAAAAAGAGAAAAAAAATACAAAGGGATCAGGAAATGGAAAACAATTGTTTACTGCTGTCGCGTGTCACCATGGCCTTGCTTCTCAAGGCGCGTTGGATACTTCTCACTCACACAACCCTTCCAATCTTGTAGACGTGGCACAGGTCCTGAAATCGTAGGTGAAGCAACCCTTGTGTTTTTTCAGTCCCTCCGTGGTGTGGTCGGATACGATCGACGTGGCAACCCGCACCCCGTGGTTGTAGACCAGCCAATACTCGAGGTCGGCTTGTTTCTTCTCGCTCTTGTTCTCCAGAGCTTGTCTCTGCCGGTCGAGAATCGGAAGCAGCCTGGCCGTGGCCAGGAGAGCCCAGTGATCGGGCTCGATGTCATCCAGAGCCTCGTCTCGCCGCAATTGCTCTAGGTATAGGAGGGCCTTGGTGGCGACCATAATCCAGCGCTTCGAGAGCTTTGGGACATCATTGTCGCCGGCGGTTTTTGMGTTGTGGTGTTGGTGCTCCAGCTCCAGGTGCACCGAGGTGACCATTCCGGGCTTTTCCCCGCTAGCGGCTTTTTCTTCCCGCTCCAGCTCCAGTTCCGCCAGTGTGACCAGGCCCAGCGCAGCTTCCCCCGGATAATACAGGGATACCCACTCGTTGTTGGGCCCGTCCTTCCATTCGTACTTGCAGGTGAAGCTCCCATCTTGCGGATTCTGGAGGGACTCGACAAAGGCTCCGAGCCTGCGGAGTTCTTTTTCCAGTGAGACCGAATCTGGCCGGATGGCTTCCATCTTTCCCAGGGCGATCATGGCCAGGCCGGCACCCCCCAGCTTGGCCATTTCCGGCTCGCTGTGGGGATCGTCGATGTCGGTGCGCTCCCAGGCCGCGAGCCACTCCTTGTGGCCGGGTACCGGTAGGAGGGCGTTGTCCCGCAGGTAGCCAACTCCCCGCTCGATCGCCCCGAGGATCGACCGCTGGCGGTGCCCCAGGTCCCCTAGCTTGTCGGTCTCGCGCGCCTCCTCCAAGTGTCGCTCCTCGTTGCGGGCGTAGGCCTGAGAGAGGGCGTAGATCGCCCCGTTGTGCCGCAGCAGGTTGTAGTCGAACTGGTAGTTTTCCTTTGCGTTCCAGTACGAGTTTTGCAGGGTGGGCCCCAGGGGTTTCCGGAGATCCGTCTGGTAGGTGAAGCGTCCGGGGAAGACCTTGTCCTGAGCGGGCGTGTGTGAGATCCGAATCAGATACGAGGTAGCATCGTGAATGAAGGAATCGAGCTCCCTCAGCAGAGATTCATTTTCGTTGGTCCCGCCGTTGCTGGCTCTGCCACCGTAGTTTCGAACTTTCGATGCCGAAGAGGAGGGAAGCTTGTGAACTCTTGCTTCCACTCCAAGAAGAGTTCCGGAACCGATCGAGGAAAGCCATCGTTTTGATTCTCCAGTGTTCGAGTTCGTCCCGTACAAACCAGAAAAGGTCGAGACAGAGCCCGATCGCGACATGGTAATGTAGACAAGGCAATGCATCACCGACAAAAGCGATATCGCGGAACGCATTCTACCGCAGTTACTGGATACCCACGAGACCCTCCTTTTTCGACGAGCCGAGGGATCAGAAACCCTTTCAAGCGAAAGAGACAACCGCCGCCTCTCTCGTTTGATCCCTTCGGAAATCTCGGCGGGAGCATTCTTTCTATTGGTCATTGTTGGGGGCATGCCGAGTTGGGTCCTCCCGTACTGTAAGCGATAGAATCTCGACACCAGAACTTCTCGTGCGCTTGTTATGGCCAGGATAGACTTCGTCGACTTGTTCGCTAATCTCTTACTCTCGTGCTCGGTCGATGCCGCAACAAGCCGTCCTTTCGCGATGGATTGGCTTTGACTGGGCAATGCTGCAGCAGGGATTTCACGGTGACCTTCTGATGCACGGTAGAGACTCCGAAGGGGGAAGGGAAAAGGTAGGAAAAACGAAACGTACACACTACATACCGTATTGTACAAGATGGTACGTACGCGCACTACGTACTACGTAAGGTATTGCACTCGCCTCGGAAGCAAAACGTCAGGTACGAACGTATGTGTATGAGTACAGTATGAGTCCATATGAACATACATGTCCCGGTGTGAATATTGATCAAATCTTGATCTAACCAGGCTCCAAACCATACAACACAATAATAATAGGTCTACCATTGCAAATGGTTGAAACAACATGGTGTGAACATTTGGGCATCGAACCATGCTATGGGAAAACCCCCAATTCGATCGTTCAACAACATGTTGCATTCATTCCTAGTTGTTCCATCAAAGCAAAAGCTTCGTGCACTTCTTGAAAAACAATAAATTCTATCATAGCTGTATTTTATTTCTTGAAAGACACACAATAGAGAACTATCTCGCTGGCGGGGAGTAGGGGTTCCGAATGTCATCGAACAGGCTTCGGACAAAAGCATAGATCGGTAACACGGTGCGACCGAACCAGAGATCCAGCGCAATCCCCACCCGGCAGACAAGCCTTCCGGTTCCAAAACGACACGGCCCGACGCAAAATAGTCGAAACGCGGCACAGCGCTTGCCCCGCAGACACGCTCACCAGCCCCATCTAGTAAAAGGGCTTGGGGGGAGGGTACGGCCCGTACGAAGGAGCCTCGCAGACGTAGTCGCACCCGGAAGAGTAGTATCCGGATTTTCCGCCCTTGCCGCCATAGTATCCAAATCCCTTTCCTCCCTTGCCTCCAGATCCGTAGCATACCTCGTAGCAGATCTCGGGTTGGCAACAGTTGCCTCCGTAGCAGTACGGGGAAGAATCGCACTTGGATGGGTAGCTTGGGTACGAAGGTTTGTACGATGGAGATGAGTAGTATCCGCCCTTGGATCCCTTGCCTCCCTTGGACCCTTTTCCTCCCTTGGATCCCTTACCTCCGTAGTATCCTGTGTAATAATCGGCGCCCTTGATTTTTCCGTACGAGGGACTGTATGATGGCTTGTGGTCGTCACAGACCACATCACATCCCGACGAGTAGTATCCTCCCTTGGATCCCTTTCCTCCCTTTCCACCATAGCCGTAGCAGACTTCATAGCAGTTGCCTCCGTAGCTAGGGTAACTGGGGTAGGATGGTTTGTACGATGGAGTGTAGTATCCCCCCTTGGATCCCTTTCCTCCCTTCGACCCCTTTCCTCCGTAGTAGGAGTAGCTGACTTCTCCGTACGATGGGTAGGATGGGTAGGTTGGGTACGAAGGACCGTATGAGGGCTTGGCAATGCTGTAGTATCCTCCCTTGGATCCCTTTCCTCCCTTAGAGCCCTTTCCTCC